CCGAAAGGTGCACCTCTGAACCGGTATTGTTTGCCTTTCCACGTAAAGCTAAAGTATTTACAGTGGGGTTCATATACCTGCATTTGATGGTATCCTTGTGTAAGGTCTATAGTTGTAAACACTGTAGCGCCTTCCATCCTTCGCAGTAGCTCGTTATTACGAGGTAAATGAAAGCTATGAGTCGGCCATAAATTATTTATTGGACTCATATCTAAACGTACTCTGACTTTCTTAAATGATCCGTCAGAGTTATGTTGGTCTACGGCTAGCAGTGCCAAGTTAACTGGCGTTTGTTGGTAGTTAATTTCTATCACACCATCTGCTAGCCATTTCTCAACTTGTTCTTTTACAACAGCCTCGTGTCTCAAGGATACATAGTTCCTTGAGGGACACTTTAACTGTGTAAAGTCTACCTTGGTTAAGTCATGGCTGACATATCCGTCGTTAAAGCGGAATTTTGCCCAATCTGTGATCTTTATTTTCTTATTAACAAGAATCAGATCCATGATTTTGTCCGCAAAGTCAGGTATTAATGCCTTGACTGTGTCTGACGGGGGCTTATATGGATCCAGACAGTTATCGTCTGATTAATCCTTTAATGGAGCTATGTTAGTTGGTAAACCAGTTACAGTTATACCTAGAGTGAGTAAATCACTCATTCTGACTATTATGTCGTGCTTCTATCATCGGCCAGGGAGATTTTAACATCTGTGGCGATTGAATCACACGTAGCAGTTTCATCATCAGCTAAAATGAGATGAGTTGTTTGTGTTCTCCTTTCGATATCTTTCATTCATGCAAAGCGATCGGATATACATGAAATTTCTGAACCAGGATCAATCAACGCAAGGATTTTATTTCCATTGCAATATACAGGAATAATTACACGCTCATCTAAAGAGTCGTTGTATTGTCTGTGTAACGATTGTAGCTGGTAGTACCGTCACTCCAACTTAATGCTGGGCTTCTGGTCACAATACTTAGTGTGATAGCCATTGGTCTTCTCACACTTGTCACACTTAGTAAGAAAGTGTGTACAGGTGGATGCATGTCTACCATTCCAATAGCCGTTAGGGTTTAACTGGTACATGTCATATCCACACTGGGCGTCGGCACATTTCTTAATCTCCTTAAATGGAGGTTCCATGTCCTTCGCTCCTGCGCGTGCCCATTTATTGGGTCGCGTGGATAAATTGGATTCGCGAGCACGTGTATGTTGGGGTCTCTCGTTTGAGGTCTGCCTGAATACGTACCCGTTATCGGTGAGCTCCCGCGGCTTATTAACAGCTGCTTTCCTCTTCGATGTTACTCGATGTGCGGGAAAAAGAGTAGATACAGTATCATATAAGTGTTCCCATGTAAGTCGGGATAGATGAAACTTTGCTTCATGTCCCTTGTCTCGAGCCTCAGTCGCGTGTTTACGTCGCAACTCGGTGTACTGACTCTCACGGTCGTTATTCCCTATGTTCTTACAGAACACGTGAATAACCAGGAATTCGTACCATCGCTGTGCCTTGTCCTTTATTATATCGGGACGTTTCAAGCCAGCGTCTAATTTCAGAATATAACTCTGAATGGGCGTGTTCTCAGCCGGTTCATTTAAAATTGAACTCAGCCCAGGGCTACGCATATCCTTACTTAACAAGGTTGTGACCAACCAACACACAGCTGGCCAGTCGTGACAAGCGTCTAGCTCATGCTGGTGTCGCTGCAGGATAAGATAACTGGTACCTGTAGGGTCAAATGTCTGCATCAAGGCAGAGATCCATTGCTGGGGAACGATATCATTCGTCTCCAGCATGACCGTAAACGCATTAAGCGTACAAGTTAGCGTGTCGAGGTCATGGTTGTTTATAATCTCGACCTGCTTGCTGTTGGCATCCCAGTTCGACTTAAGTCGACTGATCTGTCCCTTGTACTTCTGGTTGTCCCTGTGGTCTTGTCCACGTTGGGCCTGAAGTAATTGGTCTATGCGATTTTGCTTAATCTCAATAATATTCGCATAGTATGCTACGTCATCAGCATGATGCGCAGCATGGGCGACTTCCACCATTTTATTGGTATAGTCGTCGACCGATTTATTAAGGTCGGTCACCTCGTCAGAGTGGAAATCCTCTGCGGGTTGGTGTAAAGCCGTGCGGTCGAAGCGATTAAACTCGACATCGTTCACACGTCTGCGGGGATGATTTATATCCCTTGGCGTTGGAATAACATACCCAGTCTTAACTGGTTTCCGACGATTATTTTCCCAATTGGGTACAAGTGGCGGAGTATATCTCCTCACCTCTCGGTCTATAATACCTTTGAGGACAGGTGACTCACGACCGGGTGTCAGAACAGGCGAATGATTAGCCTTTTCTTCTGGGATTAATGCCTCGTACGGTATATCGACGCTGTGCACCTCTGGATCATATGACTCAGGTGTCGAGCTTGAGTCTTTGGGCGTTCTGTCCACTTCTGTAAGGCTTCAGTAATGCCCGGGGAAACATGCTCGCGTAAGCGCTGTGTAAGGTTTCCTGATCTATCTAGTTGATTTACATGTTCGACAGTCAAGTCTTTCATAATAGTAGCTAACTGATTCTTAAGATCAGCGTATTTAGTAATTAACCTACTTATGTGCTTCGGCTTAGAAGTCTCGGACGTAGATTCGGGTTTGCTGCTTGAGCTTGCCTCCTCTTATGGTTCCATAATAGGTTCCTTTTGAGATTTGTCCTTGTCCCCCATACTTGGGGACGCCCTCATAATTGGGGACTTACCTTCTGATTTTCGTCAGAAGAATGGGCTGGGGTGTCTTGAGACGTATCCCTTGTCTCACTTCTTGGCTTCGTTAATGCAAGCTTTGAAGTTGAGGCAATAGTTGGCCCTCGGGCTCTGTCAGAAGGAGTAGTCTCCTTAAGCGGAGTGGCTACTTCCTTATCTGAAGCATTGTCCTTTTGACTATAATTGTCAGAGGCAAGTACTTTGGCTACAGTGCGCTTAAATGCATCAGCAGCGGCGTCGGTTGCTTCGACAGATACTGATACACCGAGTTGACTCAGTGCATATCTTTCATTGTCGACTCACTTGGCCCAAGCTTCAAACGGGAATTTACTGACCACTTCTTTCCATCAATCTTTCCTGAACCACTACAGTGACTATGAGAGCCATACCATATGTTTATACATTGTAACATACATACTTGTCATTTTTGAAATAAATATTATTATCCCTAAGTGTATCACAAAGTATCATAAATGACGTTTCTGCGGCAGAAGCAATGGTCGCTGAAGCTAAGTATGGAGATTTGATCAACACAAATCTACATAAGCCCTGTGAACAAAAGAACATGAAATGTTCGGCGTGTGAGAAGAACCAGAGGAAGCGCTATGGTTGGACACATCCGAAGGTGGTGCTCGACAACGAGTCAACGTGCAGTCTTCAATATATGGTCGCAATAGATCTGGACTCTCGTCGCAATGGATGATATTGAACGGCACGATGGAGAGTATGTTAGTGCTCCACATGTTCGACGTAGCCTCACGATATGATTATTTTACAATGTGAGGAATAAACTATTCGAAACAATGGCGGAAGTAGGCGTACGCATATTTGCCGATCTTGGCTAATTATTGTTCTAGTGCCATGAAAATGGCGGCGAATCTATAGAAGACATTATGGCTGCCTTTTAACTTGTGTGTGGTACATGTAAAAAACTGAGGAATCTGTATAGGCCACAGTCGCAAGGCGCGAACGAGGTTCGACACAAGAGTAGGTACCACCGTTAAGGACGAGTCAGTGATTGTCTTAGAGGGTTTAGATCGTAAAAACCTGTAGAGAACAAGAAGTTTGTTAAGGATATAATTAAGTTGTCAACTACGCACCGACCGGATCGGAAGAAATGCAGGAGCCTATCGATACGAGTAGTTTGGCATGTTTATATCGAACTCTAAAGGAGTTTGGTCAGATCACGCTTTAATACAGCAAACCTCCGCAAAAAAATTGGCTCGAGGCACTGCAGCAGAGTTTCCGTATCAATGTCTGCCCCAAATCAGCAATGGTCACAACTACAACCGTGCACGGGACTATATCGTCATCCTCAACACCTTTCGCTTCCCACAGCCGCGTGTCATCGCTTCAGATTTCAAGTTTTGAATTCAGACAACTACAACCGCTGCTACCACAAGCACCATAACCGTATGTGACAGCCTTCAGTACCACAACCGTAAAATATGATCGAAGAACTTCATCAGGATTAGAGTTTCATCGCTACCGGAATGCATCGTATTTAGCACTTGCACCATGTGTTCCAAAGAAAGGATAACAGAACAATTGCAGGCCAACTTTTAATATCGAGCATCCAGTAAGAATAAAAAAGAAATTTAGAAGCGCAATTTGAGGAGGTTAAACACAACCTATCGAAGTTTTTATGCTTTTCGTATAGTATGTTGATAGGGAATCAAGTTAGGCACAGAAGATGAGAGGGATTTAAACCTAACTGGTGTTCTTAGTGCTAGACTGTTGCACAATATGCGGTCTTGCGTGTACCAGTGAAATTAATTTCGCTAGTGACAAAAGCAATATATGTTGGATACAGATAAACCCTTGCATTTACGCTACACAATACGAGGGCGTTGTGCTTAGTAATTGACAAGTGAGCAAAGTTATGTACGTATCCGAACTTCGCCCCTATGGGGTACAGGATTCCTTGCGAAATTTCGTGAGTTTCGACTGGGCACATTACGTTCCCTGCCGTGACGCACTATTTTCCATTTAAATACTTCGCAGGCTTTCGCTGGTGACTGTCGCGTAGCCTATCTGGCCACCATCAATTCCGATGATACATTTCGTGATCCGGAGCTTTATTCGAAAAAGAAGTTTGTTCTATAAAGCGCAGTTCTTGGAAACATTGGACACAGATACCGAAGTATATGACAAACAAAGAATGATATCTAAAGCCAATGCAGCTGTGCATTCTCAAAAAGTCACCGCCTCAGCGTTGGCGTACAATGAGGAACACGTATGTAGACATATAATTTATTTATTGGAAATACTATACGTAATCTACTCTGGTCTCTGTCGATAAGGCATGATACTGCTGATATCCAACATCAGAACCGAATGGCCACAATGCGAGTGCACACAACTTGACGTGTTGAATAGCGAACGGAATACCGATGATGGTCATAAACATGGACACGGCAAAGGTCTATAAGGAAATAAAAGAAAATTAAAAGGATGAGTGTCGCTGCATAGTCACAATAGAGATCGTAAAATTCTCGAAGAGAATCGAATCCACAAGCGGGGTGGACTTCGGGCATTGTAGTATAAGCACCATGCACAATGTCAGATCAAACGTGCGCCACTTCAGAATGAGAAAGGCAACATAAAAATAGAAACCCTGCCGTACATCAGTATGGATAAATACAGGACCGTACTAATCACTTACATATGAATTTTGGGTATTTGTACGTACCCATAGTAAGTAGCATAGCAATACAATAACACACAATAGATGCGTATATGCGACAGTCTCACGCATAGCGTTATAATAAAAGAATAACATGCCATCGAAAGGCTTTAATACATAAGAGAAAAAATCATACATGTCCGCTAAATACACACTGCGCAAAACGCCACCCCGTGTATATATAGCGAGAGATATTTGTAGCAGCCCATATCTACATACAAAAGTGACTATGCAGAGATTCAAAGGTCCATAGTCGCACAAACACAACGCATAGATACGTACATACGTCAGTATCACGCATAGCATTATAAAAAAATAGAATAATATGCCATCGATAGGATATTATACATAATTGATAAAATCAAATATGTCTCTGAATTACACCCTGCGCAAAACGCCACACGTGTATATATAGCGAGAGATATTTGTAGCGGCCCATATCTACATACAGAAGTGCCTATGCAGAGATTCAGAGGTCCATAGTCACACAAACACAGCGCAGATATGAATTGGTGCACGAGGATATGCAGTTTTTTGCCTTCTTATGGTATTACGCCAGCAGGATAGGATTGTAAGAAACCCTAAACCATAAAACTCAAAGATATCGAGAACAGCATAAAAAACTAGCGAAGCTCTTTAAGAAGCAGTGCGCCGTTTGTGTGAAGACTTCTCCAACAATGCCAAAGGTACAACGGCACGCACACCCTCATCTGAGCGCTTATACAAACAAGCACGCACAGACACCAATCCAGCATAAGTGAAACACTTACCATGTGCAGCACTCCCAAGATCAGACCTATAGGGAGCCACAGTAGATTGGCACAGCACCGGCAGTAGTCTCGCTTGTAGTCGGGACGGCTGATGGTCTTTCCGAAGGCAAAGGCCGAGAGTTTAGCCAGCTTAAACAACTGCAGCCCAAACGGGAACAGCACTATTGTTAGGCACAGCAGGACGCCGATCAGAGCGTAAATAATAAAGAACACAACACCTCCACCAAATATAAACCACAGGATGTTGCCCAGGTCTGTGCATTCGCCGCGGTCTTCATGGATGCGGGTGCTGTGGACTGTTGTGATGATAGGTGTGCGTGGGTTGTATGGGGTGTGTTTGGGTATTTCGGTGGTGGTGTGTTGGGGTTGTTGCGATGTGCTGGTTGCTTCTGGTGGATAGATGGCGCCGTAGTGGGACGAGGATGACGATTGGTCTTGTCTCTGTTGATGTTGCATATAGTTCTGCAGAAGGAATCAAGTGTGTGATAGATGTGAGACGATGGTCTGTAGGGCAACACAGATAGAGCAGATACCAACAGAGTGACATGTATGGTCACCAACAAAGTAACTCGTACGATCAGGCAGTACTGTCTCGCTACGCTGCCTCACATGCTCCATGGTAGTAGAAGAATGCACACAATAGTCAGCAAGGAATCACAACACATCAAGCATACTTGATAGCGTCACATTCACAGACTTCTAAAATAGACATCCCAGTGCATGAAAGATAGCATATACACTTGCACTCCAGCTATATAAATATGAATACAACCACTTGGTGAATTTGTGCGGGTGTGAGGCGATTTGAGTTTTAATACTATCATGAAATAGAAAGGGGGCGGGGTACAGGTACAGGGATTGGTGCAGCGTGGAGTATTCCAGAAACATAGTTGATCCGAGCTCGTTACCCGAAGCATTTGGCGTAGGGAGAACAGAGTGATTACGGGACGAGACATGACACAAACAAGGATGACAGAAGAGTGCCTAAGCGCATATAGAGCGGAGAAAGGGGATGATATATGGAAACAGAGCGTATGGCTCCTATAAGGGGTGATACAGATGTGTTCTAGGCCATCGACTTGACAGAGCTTAGAGTGAGGTTTGCGTTACACACTAACGAACCCAGATCAATGTCCGTCAATCAAGGGTACCAGTAAGGTAAGACACATAACACACTTCACAACCGTACAAAAAGTGCATATAAGAAGCAGGTAGTGGAAGGAAACAACTTGTCTATACCTAACCAACTTGTGCAAGCAAAAGCGGGCAGATAAGACAATATGAGCCAATGCAATAGAGGCGGTATATGATATCCAGCAAGAATATAATTCATCTCGCACCACTACAGAAATTGATAACAGCACACAAAAGTGGTATACACATATGCTCAACCTCGCAATGTATAAGCCTACATTGACCTACAATGTTCGTCTGTGGCACATGTGACTTGAACACGCACAGTATCGAAGTTTACTACATCTCGGGATAGCTCCATCATGGTGCACAGACACAGGTCTCACCCCAAACATCCACCCCACAACTTATAGAAACATATGACATTGCACAACTTAATAAAAGTATGCTATAGTACAAACCTCACCTCATTTGGCGTGACTGTTGAATAGGCGGGTGGTTGATAGGCTGGCGAGCTGTCAGCCTGGTCTGCGGGGGGTGCCGAAGGCTCTACCTCGGGATACAGTCCGGCATAGTTGTATGGCCTGGTATTGGCCTCTGCGGCCTTGTAACTAGCTGTTGTCATTGTGTGTACTGGTTCGATGTAGGTGCAGCACCTCCTGTTAGACGCAGTGTACGAATCTTTTGACCTGCCACAGCAGGCGGGCTAGCTATTTATACACGCACACAATATAATAAATCTATCAGACAAAATTGAAAAATCGTCCGAAGTTGATGAGATAAATATTATCACGGCATCAAATTCTGATTGGCCCAGACAGGTTGACAGAGCCGCTCAGAAGCAGTTGACCATTTTTTTTGGGAAATTATTATTGGGACAATGGGTCAGTGATTCAGTTAGTCTGCAGTCACGGACTCACAGTCACAGGGCCCCTGGGCGGGACCCTGGCCCAGGGGGCGTGATCGGTTGATCGCACTGATCAGGTCATCACGAAGGCCGTACGGCCAGTAAATACTACAGCAGCCGCACTCTGAGTCTCTGACGGTAAATATGGTGCCAAATTGGGGGCTACAAAATGATGAGTCATCGAATTCTTGAGTGCCATTGGCACCGAGCATCGACATATTTATTATGGAGACACTAGGAACTTAATATCACTACACTACTCGTCAGTAGGACAGTGGCATTGGTTTGAGGAAGGAATGAGTCACCATAAAAAATACGCAAGGTGCATTCGCTATTTGGAGTTTTTCGCAAGAGTGAATACGACGTTGCTGAAGCGGAAATCGGGCTGATTCAGTGTTCTCCCTTTTATGCTAACTGCACGACTGCGATGTTCGAAAATTGTTCTCTGAGACAGCTACATATATTGGCAAGTTGTGAATAGCTGTATTTTCTCTCTATATCAGAAGAAAGCAACATACAATGTACACCGCACAAAGTCTCCAATAAAGTAATACCAAAATATGCGCATTTCGCGCAGCTTTTAGATATAAAGCAATGAAGTGAGATTGATTGATACGGAATAATTTTCTTATTGGACTAGTCCCGGAAACAATGCAAGCCACCAGGGCACGTAGTACGTTTCAATTTTAAGTACAGTCTCCGCGTGCGGCGTCCTTTCCCGACTGGGCCGCTCCATGCAGTTGATATATGTGCAGATGCGACAGATTTTCTTGAGCTCACACAATTCGAACACGGTAGATCATTGCACCAAGGTGTTCACTGGCATGATGGTTTAGGTTGAATCAGCAGTGTGGGTCACTTAGGGTATCAATGTAGGATTGACCAAACACATAACACGCCCCCCTCCCCCCGCCCAAGCATTGAAGTGAACAAAATAAAAAAATAAAACCCTACGTTCTAAAAGCCTACTATGAAATAGATATAATGAATCTGTTTATCGCTTTCTCTGGGTGCTATTGTAGCTTTATATGTGAAATTTTATTTATAAGTGGATGTGATTGAGGATTGCTTCGATACTACTTTTGTTTAGATAGCTAGTTGCATATAAACTGCACTTTGAAAATTGTTGTTCGTAGCTTTGATGGTCTATTAAGTCGTTAGAGTTGACAACATGAGCTTCGATTTGGAAAGCTTTCAGGTGAATATATGAAGCCAGTCTTTCAATCGTGTTGCCAGCGGGGCGAAATAGGCGTCCCATACTTTGTACACACGGATTTTTATCTCATAGATTTGGCAATTTTTCTATGTCTTTCATTCTCCGTAGTACTTGTGTAGTTTGCTATATAGTTTACTATATGTAGTTCACCACAACTGCTACTACATATACTATAT